ATAACTTTTTTGAAATGTGTTTTTTTGGAATTTTTTGTTGTTATTCTGTTTCTCACTGTTAAAATAAACCTACCATTACAATTATAGACTGATCATTTCTTTGTCAGTGGGCAAACATACAAAATCAGCAGGAGATCAAATACTTTTTTCCCTCACTGTATATCCCTGATAACCTGTTGCTGTTTTTTAAAAACCTGATCAAAGAAGAAAGCAGCCTGATAGGTGCCATCTGAGAAGACATCTATTAAAATAATTCTAAATGTCTAAATGGTTAAAGCTAGAAGTTCATTTTGAAAAATTACTTGTTAAGCCAAGCTTATGTTATAATATGCTTGAGAAACATTTAAAGTATTTGCATTGTGCCCTTTTTCCACAGGGACCCCTGTATTACAAAACTGAAAGTGTTTCAACTGAGTAGAAGGCAGGTCTAAGCTTTTTTTGGACCCGTTCAGACATTCAGTTGATGAAGGAAGACCCAGGGCAGGGATGGGTACAGCCATGTTCTTAGCCCTGCCCTCACAGCTTTCCTGTGCTTCAGTGTAACTTCTCCTGAGGAAAGCCTGCTGTGCAGTTGCACACCTGCAAGTTAAGCAGAGAGGGCCTCCAAATGCAGACATTCTATACATCACTGGGAGTTCAGCACAAGCCATGCAATGGCAAAGGCGCCCGGACAAAGTGGGAGGGAGGGAGTGGGGAGGGAACCTTGGCCTTTAGATGACACACCAGAGAAAAGACCAAGAGAGAAGCTACATTTTATAGAGTAGAATCTAAGCTGAATGATGGCAAATGAATTTAATATGTAACATTAATAGTAATTTAATTAATATGATTGCTTCCCATTTATTTAATACCTCAATGAGAGAGAACAGTTTCTATTACACTGAAAACTATACTATATTAGCAACTTTTGGAGGGGCTCCGAGGACTACAGCCAAGAGTTTTGGGGAATGAGCTGTTCCCTTGAGATGCTTATGCATCTGAGCTAAATGCACAGCCTCCAGCCCTCCCTGCCGAAGAAGCTTCCTCCCTTAGAACTCCTAAACGGGACTTCTCCAGACCAGCCAACAGTTGATCAGATTCCTCTACTGCAAACGCTAACGAAAGAAAACCACACTCTAGTCCTGTGCCAACTCTTCCAGCTTGCTTTGTCCTCTTAACAGTTGCTCTATTTCCATCTCTGCCATGGGGCAATGTGGGGGTGGGGAGGTGTTTTCTCTCTCTCTCTCTCCCCCATACACACACACACACATACTACGGAAGCTGCAATTTGAATATTAATAAGTTTTAGCATAGGGCTTCTGAGCATTGCCAGTTTTAAGTATATGAGCCATTAATTAGCAAGCACATAATAGCTTCAACTCTGTATTAGTGGTTATTTATTTATTATTTCAATTTATATAGCCACCCATTTCAAATGCATGACACTGAGTAGCTTACAACAGTTAAAAACTACAATAGAACAAAGTGCAATCTTAAAACATATAAAAAGCATGTAAAACCATATAAAACACTAAGTAACAGAATCCACAGCCAAGGTCTAAAAAACAATCTACACTCAACACAAGCACTGTATAGGTTCTACTGCACGTCCAGATCCCCAAGCCCAGTGGCACAGCCACATCTTTAAGGCCTTATGAAAGGCCAGTAGGATTGAGGTTAATCTGATCTCCAGGGGGATGATGTTCCAGAGGGCAGGTGCCACGACAGAAAAGGCTCTCTTCCTGGGCCCCGCCAGATGACAGGACCCGAAGCATGCCCCTCCTACTGGACATAACGGGATGGGTAAATGTAACTGAGGAGAAGCGGTCCCTCAAATAACCCAGTCCCATGCCATGAAGGACTTCATAGGTCATCACCAGCACCCTGAATTGCACTCAGAAGAGTTCAAGAGGAAGTTGGTCAGACAGTTAGAACTAGTGGAAAGTTGTGGTTTTGCATTTGACAAGTACAGCATGGTGTGTTAATTTTTGTCTTTGAATTCCTTTGTAATGAATCATGGTTTTACATGTTTCTAGGTCCTTGTTGCTTGACAATAAATATACCTTGTTTTCTTTGTTTCAGGGTCTTGCCCGTGGCATGTTACTGAACATGCCCATGTATGCTTGACCTGGCTTTGCAAATCTATAATAAAGTGTTTGGAGATTGAAGTACTAGGGAAAACAAACCTCATCTCATCCCTGCAAGGCCAAGTGAGAAGGGAGAGGAAAATGTAAGTCGTAAATGGGATAGAAATACATTCAGAAGTTCCCTTACTGATTTTTCTCCAACAACAACAACAACAACATCATCATCAATACACACACACACACACACATACACACATACAGAGTTAGCAGCAGTCTACTTCCTTAGTTTACTTTAGGGACATTCAGAAAGTGGAAATCATGAAGGACGTGTCAGCTCTGAGTAGCAATGATAGATATACAACTAAATACCAGAGGGACCTACAATTAGCCCCAAAGATACTGTCACTATCAAAAAACTGCACCATCTCTGACTTTATGCCCCCTGGTAACAAAGCTGGCTGTTTAAAATTTTACAACAGTAGTATCCACAAAAGTTACCCTCGCTGCCAGGAACATTGTTTGACAAACAGAAATGACATAATTAATAAGCTGGAATTTTAATTATCTTTCCTAAAGTTAAAACAGACAACAGAATCATCTGGGAGGGTTGGTGGGGGGGACGGGGACTCTGCCATTCTGCTCCTACTACATTCATAGGCTCTGTTCAAGCCATCCCAGTAAGTCATAGTTTAACTACAGTTTGTTTAAAAACCCACTATTGGTTTGGGCTTACTCTAAACTATGGTTAACAATCTATAACAGATGTGTTTATATTTAATACTAAGCCAAAATCAAAGAGATCAACAATTGGATTAGTTCAACTATTGGACTAGATCCAGATATCCATCTGTAGATAAGAGTCAGGAGAAGCTGACTTTCCTTCTACACATCCTCCCATCAGCCCACAGAGATGCTTTAAAATGCTCCAAGGATCAGGAAATCTTGCTAAGTGGAGGGGGAGGCTGAGTGGATGGCCATCCTCAAAAGGGGCAAGAGGGGACCCAGTCACACAAATGCCACAACTTGTGCCATCATTCATGTGTACTGTCATTTTGGAGTCACCATAGTTTGTTGTGGATGCCCACCATGTGGAAAGGGGGAGATGACAGAAAATAGGCAGCAGTCATTTTCGGCTCCATGTTCAGAAGATGCTTCTGCCCAATATTTCAAACATCTCCCTTTTCTCACAGCACCCCAGTCCAGCCAGCAGGGCCTGGAGGGAGTCTCTTGCAACGACTGGCAAGGAGAAGAATGGAACCAGAATTCAGTTATTCCCTGCTCTTTATCTTATCTACATCCAACCCATAGCTGACACAAAGTGAGTATATCTGTTGGAAAATTAGTAAGTTTTTTTGCTGAAAAGCCTGCAGAAAATCAACATACTGTTTCCTTTATTTCTACTTACGGGATTCAAATTCTTTTATAGAAAGGAGTTTCTCTGACTCAGTCCTTTCCAGGTGTGTTTTCTGGTAATGGTGCAAAAAAGGAGGGAGAAGGGAGAGAAAAGGGTTTGTTGAAAAACCTCCAAAATATATCTTTGGCTATTTGCAATTGTCTCTTGTAACAATCACCTTGCCCTGTAAAGACTACAGAGGAGGGGATGAACAGCTTTTCAGGTTTACCTGTCATGGCCTCCTACAACATATAAGCCACCAAGAGTCATAGAACTCGTACTGGAATTTGCACACATACATATAAAATGAGTAGTTTCAAAATGTCTCCCTTGTTTTAGTTGCAAATTTGCAAAAAGCACCTAACAGTAGCAAGCAGTCAGAAAGCAAACTTTGCTTTGAGGAAAGCGAATAATCTCAATGTTGACAGAGTTCAAAAGCAACACTCCAGCATTGGCCTAAGGCCACTTCTTTGTAATCTTGGCCATTAAATGCGAGTTTGCAGGTGGCCCAACAGCTGAGGTTTGGAGACTTTAGTTTGCATGTTTAGATTTCATATTCCATGTAGGGCTCCCTCCCACTTCCCTGCAAGCTATAAAAGCCCAAATTTATTCCAATGGCTTTTCATCATTAAACATCTGATTTTGTTTGTGGATCACCACTAGACTGTACTTTAATTTAAAAAAGAAAAAGGGAGAAAGAGAAAAGAAAGAAGCAGGGGTGGGGGAAATCAGCCAGACTACCCTGCCAGCTGGCCTTCAGCATCTTTTCTCTATACTCGGACTTCTGGGGAAGAAATGGCAAACTGAAGTGGAGCTGACAACTGTGGCAGAATGAAGAGCCAGCAAGTAGACCGGCTCTTCGTAATTCCTCTCCGGACAAGGAGAGGACTTGAGATCACCCACATGTGTTCCATACAGTTGCTCCTCGTAAGGAGACCGCAAGACAGCAGTTTCCGGTGGGTTTAGAGATGGGGAATAGACATCTTTTTGCTCAAACCGCAGTCGACGCCTTCAAAAGAACACTGAGTCCTTATACTTCCTTTTCTAATCACTTTCAAAAATTGCTTGTTAACTGCTTTTCAGCTATTAGGAACCTTTGGATAGACAAGCTTTACAGCACCGGGTGAGTCTCCTTCAATCTTTAACGAAGGAAGTTTTAAATACAAGTTTAAGGACTTAAAAAAAAAAATTAATAAACAGCAAAAGGATGATTAGAACTTTGATTTTGGAAAGTTGCAAATGGATTGAGCTCCAGATGGATTTGAAATAAGAATCTGGAATTAATTATAAGAATCCTTCCCATGGGCAAATATTTTTGTTTTGAATTCTCTTTTTAAAAAACATGATACGATGAGACTTGAAGGTTGGACACTAGAGGGAACCAGAAGGAACTAAAGATTACAATTAAAGGGGAAGAGCACTTCAATTTGACTTACTAATACAGAATGGAGCAAAATATTTTAATATTTGACATATTGAAGGATATTTTTGAACAATGGACCCAGAAATTAATTTTAAGAGTGCCTGCCTCTATAGATAGACTGTGTTTAGAAGATGTTATGGAAGAGGAACAGGTTTTACCAGACAAGGCTGATCTGAAAGTGGATTTAAAAATGACAGGTTACAAGAATTATATGGAAAAAAAGCATATTTTCTCTATACTGTACCTAGGTTGATCTTGTCAGATAAGCAATTCTCAAACACACAGATTTTCTTCAAAGGACACAGTTTAGGGTGTTCAATTTTTTTTTTAATTGCAAAGAAGGGCAAACTGGAGAAGTACAATAGCAGTCAATATGGTGACTTAGAAATTTGCAAGCAAGCAAAATCTCCCTGCAAACAAATTCTGAGACATGCTTCTCACCAAACCAAGGGTTGCATAGGAAGGACTGTCCAGATACTTTGATGCCTATGGAGTATTTATATTCTTTGTGCTCTCTCTCACCTATCTTCTACGAAGCTGCCACCCTAGCTTGGTGAAACAGACTAAAATATGCCCATTCTTACCCTTATCTAGAAACCAGAGAAGAAAGTATCTATTCAAGGAACATTTTGATATAATATTTTATTCACAGTGGATTAAGCTTTTCTGAACTGTTTGCTTTTGATCAAATTTTTATAGGTTAAAGCCAAACTGGGTCACCCTTATGGCAACAGATCCACTAAACTTAAGAAAATTAAGCTTCTGTTAGCTAATTTATACCCCATTAGTGTCAGTGGATCTACTCTAGATACAGAATACTCCAATTGCTTCATCTTTGTTAAGCCACCTTGATTTAGAATGTGACTCATCAATGGAAGTATAATATTCCGCAAGTTTTACTGAATGTCTGAACTGTAAAGAAAAGGAGAATATCAATGTTATATAAAATATTGTATTACAGATGTAGCAGAGTTAGCATAACTAACAAACGTCTAGCAAACAGTCAGCATAAAGGTTTCTGGGTTTATTTCCTGTTGCTTCTCTTTCCAAAGATAAAGCAGATACCTTCCCTTCTAGAATTAAACTCATTCATCTGCTAGACCGTTACTTTTAGTGATCTAATCAGACTATACTTCCTATCTACCTTTTATTTTCTTAAATCATCTCTATGATTTGTTTTAAAACCAAGCTGTGATGTCTCAGCTGGCAATAACAGGTTGCCACAGAGGTCATTTCAGAGACCTAATTTCCCAGGGAAAATAGTAATTTTCACCTTGGGGAACAAGTTGCTCAGTAACTCATGTATTTTAAGTATGCAAAAAGAACATCAGCTCCCAAGCAACTAGATCTGTAGAAAAACTGGCCACAACAGGCTCAAAATTTCAACTTCATGACCTAAAGCAGGCATTTTCAACCCAGATTCATGTTTTATGGAA